CCCCCCCCCAATTATCGATCTTCCGGCGTCCCTGTAAAGGTGAACTCGACCAGGCTAAAGAGTGTTATGAACGAGCACTAGCAATAAGCGAAAAGCAATTAAGTCCAGACCATGTTGATGTTGCACGTTTTTATAATAACCTTGGTGTAGTGTATCGTGCTAAAGGTAAAATCGATCAGGGTAAATTAGAACTATTATAAACGAGCACTGGCAATAAGAGAAAAGCAATAGACAACTTGCATGTTAGGCTAATTTTTGATTTAGGCCAAAAAAGTAAATTCCCGTAAAGAACTTATTTAAAATCAGTAAAATTGCAAAATTTGGTTACGAAATGTTGTAAAATACAGAAAATATAACCTTGTGAAGTTTGCATATTTTCAGTATGTTTGTATTGCGTGCGGAAATTGTTACCATTTTTGAGCCGAAAATGGTAACAATTTCCGCACGTTTAATACAAATATACTGAAAATATGCAATCTTCGCAAGGCTATATTTTCTGCATTTTACATCATTTTGTAACCAAATTTTGCAATTTTACTAATTTCATTATTTTCTTTTTAACTGTTGTGTTTTATTCCCAGACCATGTTGATGTTGCAGTTTCTTATAATAAGTCTATTATGAACGAGCACTGGCAATAAGAGAAAAGCAATTAAGTCCAGACCATGTTGATGTTGAACATTCTTATAATAGCCTGGCCGTAGTGTATCATGCTAAAGGTGAACTCGACCAGGCTAAAGACTATTATGAACGAGCACTGGCAATAGGAGAAAAGCAATTAAGTGCAGACCATCTTGATGTTGCACGTTTTTATAATAACCTTAGTACAGTGTGTCATGCTAAAGGTGAACTCGACCAGGCTAAAGAGTAAAGACTATTATGAACGAGCACTGACCATAAGAGAAAAGCAATTAAGTCCAGACCATGTTGATGTTCCACGTTCTTATAATAACCTTGGTGTAGTGTATCGTGATAAAGTTGAACTCGACCAGGCTAAAGCCTATCATGAACGAGCTCTGGCAATAACAGAAAAGCAATTAAGTCCAGACCATGCTGATCAGCTGATGTTGCGCTTTCTTACAATAACCTTCGTGTAGTGTACCATGATAAGGTGAACTCGACCAGGCTAAAGACTATCATGAACGAGCACTGGCAATAAGCGAAAAGCAATTAGTCCAGACCATGATGATGTTGCAGTTTCTTATAATAACCTTGGCGTATTGCATCGTGCTAAAGGTGAACTCGACCAGGCTAAAACCTATCGTGAACGAGCACTGGCAATAAGAGAAAAGCAATTAAATCCAGACCATGTTGATGTTGCACAATCTTACAATAATCTTGGTGTAGTGTATCGTGATAAAGGTAAACTCGACCAGGCTAAAGACTATTATGAACGAGCACTGGCAATAAGAGAAAAGCAATTAAGTGCAGAACATGTTGATGTTGCACATTTTTATAATATAACCTTAGTACAATGTATCATGCTGAAAGTGAACTCGACCAGGCTAAAAACTATTATGAACGAGTGCCGGCAATAGGAAAAAAGCAATTAAGTCCAGACGATGCCGATTTTGCACATTCTTATAACAGCCTTGCTGTAGTGTATCATGCTAAAGGTGAACTCGACCAGGCTAAAGACTATTATGAACGAGCACTGGCAATAGGAGAAAAGCAATTAAGTCCAGATTATGTTGATGTTGCGCGTTTTTATATTAATCTTGGTACTGTGTTTAGCCTGGTAAAGGTGAACTCTACCAGGCTAAACACTATTTTGAACGAGCACTGGCAATAGGAGAAAAGCAATTAAGTCCAGACCATATTGATGTTGCACTCTCTTATAATAATAACCTTGGCGAGTTGTATCGTGCTAAAGGTGAACTCGACCAGGCTAAAGACTATCATGAACGAGCACTGCAGGCAATAAGAGAAAAGGAATTAAGTCTAGACCATGTTAATGTTTCACGTTTTTATACCAACATTGGTGAAGTGTGTCATGGTAAAGGTGAACTGGATCAGGCTAAAGACTGTTATGGACGGCCACTGGCAATAAGAGAAAAGCAATTAAGTGCAGGCCATGTTAATGTTGCACGTTCTTATAATAAACTTGGTACAGTGTATCATGCTGAAGGTGAACTCGACCAGGTTAAAAACTATTATGAACGAGCACTGGCAACAAGAGAAACTGAGCAATTAAGTCCGGACCGTGTTGATGTTGCACGTTCTTATAACAACATTGGTGAAGTGTGTCATGGTAAAGGTGAACTGGGCAAGACTAAAGATTATCATGGACGATTATCTTGCATGTGTTATAACAACGTTGGTCTAGTGCATCGCGCTAAAGGTGAACTGGACCAAGCTAAGGATTATCGTGAACGACCACTGGCAATGAGAGAGATTAACAATTAAATCTAGGCTGCGTTGCAATTTTTTTCTTGCAACCGCACGGGACGAAAAATTTGATTTGGGGCTCAATTTGCAATTGTTGCAAATTTAGCGCGAATTTGGTAGTATGAATTCGCAACGATTGCGAATTCATCTGTGCAACTAAATAGATTCGCTTCGCATTTGCCCGCTTCTTTGCGCACTTGCAAATTTGTTACATTATTTACAACACATTTGCACATTCGTGCAAATTTAGAGCTTCGCTTTGCTTAAACGTTGTCTTACAACTTGAATTAGAATACTTTGACGCCAATTTTATAGTCTGCATGCGTGTGTCAATTGAGATGCGGGATCCGACAACTGATTTTCGAGGACTAATATTTGATCCTAGGTTTAATAAAGGTATTATAATCCGCCAATAATTTTAATTGGGCTGAAGCTTAAATACACCGATAATTTTGGCTTTTGAAATGGCAGAAAATTGTTCAAATGTTATTGTTCGTTGGAATTGAATTAATACTGTGCTGTGAATTTCGGGTATTCACTGATTTCATTTTTAGCATATATGAAACTATGCATGATTCAAGGAAGCGAAGTCGCGCTCCGTGTTGCCATTCTGTACATTAAGGCAGACAGAGTGCATGAAAACAAGGAAATCGCTGTTGTATAGAAACTTAGAAAGCTTGCTTGTAATACAAACCTAAGGTGCCCAGTTGCTTTGGGATGTCAGTTTGGTCATTCTGGAACAAATTTGCAATAAATTGGATAATGAAATTACACACTGTATTATTAGTAGCAAATTTAAAAGCATGTTTCCATCAAGTTTGCGTTAAGGGCAAATTTATTCCAAATATTAGATGTCAGTTAATACACGTCTTTTTCAATGATACTTACATATTTTTCCGAAACAGTAACAGATATTGGCGATCAAAGCATGCATTTAATGCTTGGGTAAACGGCAGTATGCTAGTGGCTCAAAATATGGCTAGAAATCATTTTTCACTGTACACCTCGCTATAAGCTAAAAAATACTTACATATTCGTATTGATTTAATTCTTGTTGATAAACCCTGCAGTTTTTTTGTAAGTTGCGATCAAAATCTTAAAATTTATGTGTTTCGCAATAGCATTTTTACTACATGCCATACCTCAAAATGCGTACTCTTGGAACCAGCTACTCGCGCGCCATAGTGAAAATTATACAGGATAGGTCACTTCCGCCTCCTCTTGAGATATGTGAATTCAGATTTGATATAAACAATGAGCAACACGATTTTCAAGTTTTATATATTATTGCAACAAAGCGTATTTTCTGGCTTTGTACGAAGATATTTAGCAACACCAGGCATTCTTTCAAGATTATGAACTTATGTGTACACTATTTCATCTTTTTAATATGGCGTGTAATAAAGGACGAAACAAACTTCAATTTAATATTTTGAAGACAGAATAATGGACATACTATATAGTATTTGGATATTAGAAGTAATGTTTCATAAACGAGTGCGAGTGTTTTACCAGGGTTTCCAAACACGCGAGAACAATTGAATT